TGTTATTTTGTAGCCTGCGCTACACCCGGTATTATCTAGTACGACGGCTATAGTTATTTTTTTTACTCCAAGACTTGATAACAACCAAGAATATCGGCGAAATACAAGTTCACCTTGAAATCCAATATGTTTATTAATGAATCAGTTATTATGCACAATGATTCTAAAAATTATGGAATAAAGAAAGCATTAAAACTCCATGAAAAATATTTTTCTTTTTTTTAATGGCCATTCCGAAATTTAAAAGGGGACTGGTAACTAGTCACACTCGATGCAGTTTGAAGCAATCGCGAGGAACGGATTCCATGACGAGAAAGAGCATACTAAAATTCGAATAGTTTTTGAGTTTGAGAGCATTCGCTTGAATAATTACAAAGTGGCAAGCGATTAGATATAAATTTGTCCTTCTATGAGAATACTCAAACTCAAACTTGAAAATCACAATAACTGTACGGTCTTTTATATGGTTTGGTGCAGTTTTTAGTGGCGTATTTTCATGCTTGTTCCCAGTCCCCTTTAAAATTTCAAAAAGGCCAACAAGAATAAACGATGTTGTGTAGGATAATTCAACAACTTTTCAATTGAAAATTAGAACTTTGAATCTAATTCCTCGCTCTTATCTAAGACAGGCTGAGTAAGCTCTCCCGTGGAGTACTTATTAAATGACAAATCTCCGATGAAAGGCAAACTCGGGGTGAGCAATTTGCTTGTCTCYAAGTCCAAGCTGAAGTTCACGTCTGTATCCCAATACATCCCGTCCGTTTCTTGTGTGACTCCATCCCCTTCGTCACCTTCTTTCTGATCACTACACAACACCGCCATACGGTGTCTCAACACTTTAACTTCATTCATAAGAATCATTTGTTGGTAATGAGARGCCGAGTTTTCACCCATGCCGATACTGACATGGACTGTTGGCAGCCACCTTAAGTAGCATCCGGACCAGAACTTCATGGCGGGCGCAGAGGGGTTAACTTTCGAATACATCTCTTTGGCGTCCTCTGAAGTCGTTTTGCTATCAGATTCAGCTTTGTGCGTGGATGATTTTAGCTCGTACAGCGGGTTTAAAAACGTTGCTGAAGTTTTGGAGTTAGACAACTGCTCTGCTAAGAAATCCCATAGGGAGGCCATAGGGATGTCGCCAAGCTCTGCTTTTGAAAGAGAACTTCGCTGTTCCTCGCAGTCGAAGAGAAACGTGTCGAACATACAAGCATGCATGCTATCAAACAATCCCAAGAGATATGTCTCAGAGAACTCAAAACCTGAAGGAAACTGATTCATCAATTGGTAAACACAATCGAGAAAGTGAAGAAACACAGGAGCTTCTTGTTCGACGTCTTTCTCGCTTTCCTTGGTAAATGGTTTAATATGGCCACATCGTCGCACAAATGGATGTCCACAGAGAACCCACATCTTCTGGATGAGAGTCTGGAAGCCACGTATTGTGCGATAGTAGCTGTCAACAATCAACTGAGCCAGTGAAGCAACAACAAGAACCATGTCTCTGCCGTTGAGCTCCTTCACTATTACTGGACGACCATCTTCACAGACAGTAGTTGCAACCTTAACTGCTGACTCAATAGACTGACGCGAATACTCCAACCATCTAAACAACAAAACATAAATATTTGAATGAATACAGCTATTTCAAAAAACGTTGAATATTGAATAGTGTATTCTGTAAAGTGCATTCCAAGACCGCAAAGCACCGTTGCTCTAAATTCTTGACTTCATTGCTTTCTATGTAAGTTTTTGACTACACATAGTTGATAAGGTCACTCTGAAACCACGAAATCTCTTAGGGAACTTCAGATTTGCCAACGAGTACGAGATTGAGTACGAGTACGAGTTTTCAAACCAGCTTTTTGTTGTGTTGTCCATACCGGATTTCAATCCACTTCATGTTTTTATTTCTTTGATCTTTCAATCTACTCGCAAGAATGCAATTCATGATTAATAGCGCACTTAAGGCCAATTTTAAAACTCGTACTCGTACTCAATCTCGTACTCGTTGTCAAATCTGAAGTTCGATAGAACGACCAACAATGCATTTCGGTCTTGGTATGCACTGTCTTCAGTTTTCAAAGCTGTATACATGTTGAAATACAAAAAATGTGTGGATGTCAAAAATATTCAGGGCTTGAACAGAAATGAACCCATGAAAATTGCAATATGGGTGCAACGCTCTACCACTGTTGCTACCTAAGATACAGCAACAAGCTTACATTATTTTTAATTTCGAATCCCTAAGGACCGTTTCTTCTTGATCAAAATTATCAAGAAGATAAARAAGTGTTTGAGTAGCCAGCAATAGATCGTGTATATGTAATACACCAGCCAGAGACTTTTTCCAGTGGGAGCCAGGGGATATTGGTTTGCATGAAATGATGCGGAAGCCTGAGTCAATCCCAGCTCTGATTGAAAGTTTCCTGGGGCTCTATAATATCCACATAAATGTTGACTTGCTATCACAACAAATTTTGCATTCTACTTACCGTGTTGCATCCAGACTTGACAGCCATGTGGGATCAATGTTCCAGAAAGCCTTGTTAGTTTCCATAACACATAACTCATGTATTTTGAGAAAACTTTGTGCAAGATCTCTTATAGTGGGACAGGTCTTGGACAAATCAACAACCATGACTTCTTTGTGCTCTGGATTACAGGGAAGGGTTGACAACGCACGGAACAAGGAMGTTTCTTCTTTTTCTAAGAAAATACTGTCTGGTCTGTAAAATAATACAATGTTATATCTTAAATTGAATTTTTATTGGAAAGGGAAGGATGAAATAGTCAATAGAATWATAAASTTGTGGCMTTCCACACACTACCTCMACAATATATGTTTTAGCACWCAACACCTTTGTACCYAGAAAAGGTGTTGTTGGTAGTGGACAACACAACTAGCAAATATCTATTTTCAATTTCCATGTAAAGTCATTGTAACCCCACAATACACTTATGAATTATTTACACAACTACAATATTTGAGTTTCACTTGTCACTGTCTGTATTCTCAACTGGGGTCTTAGCAAGTTGCACCACCCATGATTCCATAAAAACACCACAAATTTGCAGACATGATAAAATTGCCATAAAGCGGATTTCGTATGACTGTACACGGTAATTTAGTGCTTCATTCCATTCCATAGCGGTGATGTATTGTTGAATCTTTATTTTTATTTGGAGTCCTAGAAGGCGATGTTCCGTGACCATGCCGTGCCGTGTCCGTGTTGTGATCCGTGCCATTGCAGAGTCATACGAAATCTGCTCAAAAAAAACTAGGGGACTTAATTATCAAACAATAATAATAAAAAATTTGATCTTACCGTCCTGAAGCACTGTGAAGAATAGGGACACCAGTAGTGGGGTGACTCCAGCACCAAATRGGAAAACGCGATTCAATATAATGAAGCGACATGCGGTTTATGTCAGAATCAGTTAATGGTGACAAGCAGACAAAAAACTGTGATTGACTCGGACAAGTCTTAAAATTGTCATTTACATTAACTATTCGCCAGGTATCATCAACATTTAACCTTGATAACTCATTTAACCAATCAGGAAGTGTTCTGAAACTAGGGGTGACTCCTTTAACCCTGCTTTCATCACTAGCAAGCTTAGAAAGCGACGTACTGTAGTTGAATGCAAATAGCAGCGACATGGAAGAAGGGTAAGCATAATGGAGGATTGCATTGGCAATTTGTGCTTGTTCTTTTTTGGGGGTGAACTTGAGACCAAAGTCCATTACTCTGAAGTCTTTGCAATGGATCTGCATTCTCTGTATCTTGGAAATATCCTTCTTGCTTGGACCAAGTTTTTTATATTTAGCATTTCCTTTTGATGTACAGTAAAAGAGATTCTGGATGCAGGTTAGCGGTATGTGCAATTCTTGTTGTATATCAGCATTTATTCCACCCTGGGACAGATCTGGATTTGATTGGAAGACTGAACTAAGCGGTGTATCTGTTGACGAATTTGTTGTTAAGAAAGATACCCGAAAGTTAGTGACATAAAGAGCTCCTGAGATCCCTGATTTGCTTTCAGTCATTGCACTGAATCGAAGAACGTTTTTGGCTCTAGCAACCATGATTTCACCAGGAAGGAAAGTTGGCGCTGGCATGGTTTCATCACGGGAATTCATCTCCATTTTTTCTGACTATCAGTTTGTGCTTTATCTAAAAAACAAACAAGCAGGTTTAAATTACAATACAGACATTTTTCCTATATAAGACTTCAATAATTCTCAGTTTTAACCATACCWTAGTGTGCTCATTTGCAAAATGCCAAATTGGTTTTGTGGAAAAAGGACAAATTTTTCTCCAAAGAAATTCTGAAAACTTGGCCAGATTGTGTCTTATGTTTTTATAAATCGATCCTAAAATTTTCATCAAAAATCATGTTTTTGYGAAAATAGCACATAACTGATTTGGTATTATGCAAATAATGATCCCCTTAATACCCTAGTAATGTCAGTTTGTAAAATTGCTTTTAAGCTAACATTTATATTGTATATACACAAAGTATCAAGACGAGTGGTGTTTAAGCCCTCTTAATACTCCTGTATAATTCTGGGATTATCTCAGAGATACATAAATCAGTTTTTTGTGCAGACATGAATTTTGGAATATGTAAAAGACGTAAAGTTTTATTTATAGAGGAACATTGGAAAASTTCACAATCATTATCATAATCAGTTATTATAGAACTAGTCCACTAATTGCACATTGCACATTAAATAGTACATTGCACACACTATTTTRTCAAGGGATAAATTTTAATCCCTCTAATTCAYGTGACATCATCTACATGAWTTGAAAATTCACACATGATAGTTGGCACAGGTAGCCCAAAATATGACAACACCCAACATTAAAAAATCACGATTTYCTTATAATCTGTTATACTTTCTCGTAGTGTGTTTTCCTAAACAAATGCAACTAAATATCTCATTTGTGTAGCTAGAAATCTCAAAGTTTTTTCTCTAAGAATGTAAGAAATGAGACCAAGACCTTCTCAAGAACTATAAGGTTAAACTCGACGCCCTACAGAGAATCAAGTTCATGTGCAAAGGCAAAAGCAAAGCCCAATACAATTCAAATAAAAACAATGAATGGAAATTATTCTAAGTTTTGAATATAATTTAGCCAATTATCATTAGTTTACCTCGAAAGGAGATGCTCCAGGGCGTCAATGAACCTTAAATAGTGTAGAGGAATTCGATGCCTTGTCAAGATCCGTTGGCCATTCGCAGTTTAATCACAAACCAACCAACAACCAAGTATTTTCAGCGAAAGCAGTTTCCACAAATCGCTTATTTTACCATATTTGTACTTTCCATTGTGGTTTCCATTAGTTAATTGACATACAAATGAAGTTTCGAGTGAATTTTATCGTGCAAACTGCACTTCTCTGTGCGACATGGCACACGAACATGCTAGTTTCCTTTTAGAAGACTGGGTACAAGTATTCTGGGAGGAAGTGGGGGCTGGGCAATAGCTGGGTAAGCAGTGTACCTATAACAAAACCATCCTGAAAGCATTAGAAATCCTTTAATATTTTCGCATACTCATTTACATTTATATGGTAAAATACTTTTATCTAACTCAATTATAAAAYTGGATTTGCCAGTGCTTCAGCGGTGAATTTGCCGCGGTAGTTGACCACGTGACCAAAGATCAATCATTCGGTCCRGCGCRGAGAACRAGCTTCTGATCGAAAGCGCTTCGGGTTGACAGTTTACCTTTGTTTGATTCTTTTCTAGTTSCCGTAGAATCTTTTAAATCATGGTTGTGGATCCAGAAGCAAAAGGAGAAGACAATGATGAAGGTAATGTAGTGTTTAAAGCCGATWTTGTTTGCAAAGGAGATGATGTTTGCGGTCAAATTTGTATCGCTCTTGAGTTGTTTTTCTGAAWTTACACAATGAAACTTTAATCATTCTTTGGAATTTCAAGATTCTTTGCCACATATTTGAAGCATCTTACAGTGTGAAAATTTCGCGTAAAAATTCATGATATGCGAGTTTGATTTCCGTAAACTGACCACGGTTAAAGTTGCTGTTTACCGATTATTTAGTTGTACCTCACACCATTGATTTGTTCTGAATATTTTAGGTGAAAATATTTCCCGAATAGCATTCAGACTCAAGCTTGCGATGCTCAAATGTTATGTGATAATATTTTTTCTTACTTTTGGCCTAATATGTTTTTCCATTTTTGTGAAATTCGTAACAATTGTATTTTGAAGTTTGAAATAACTTGTTATTGTGTGTTGTTTTTGTTGGGCCGCCCATGTTTCAGCTTTATCGAATACCAATGATTAGCCATAAATGAGAAGAAGCCGAAATACATTGCTATTCTATTTTTTATAACATTGAGAAATTTGTAATTTTGTTGTTTGGCTGATCTCTTCTATTATGGATTCTGCGCTTTATCTTTATTTTTTTAATCTTTTAATTCCCAAAAGTGTCAAATAATGAATGCTTGTCATTTAGCTTATATGATCCTGTATTGCATATAAACAACTCAAAAGGCACATCAAAAGCAAACATGGCTCTTTGAGCATAACATACTAAAGAATCCTTGTGAATTTGTTATCTCATGGAATGAATTATAAGAAAATATTATTTTCTATTCCGGTTTACATTCCCTCTTCCTCCCATCCTGTTCTTCCTAAAACATCAATATTCAAAAACCATGGTCTGCGCTGCTAGCAGTGTTGGGACAAGAGCAGGTGCAAGAACAAACACAATACTGATTTGTTTTTTGGAGTGAAAACTAACAGAATACATGTTCTATCATTATTGGAATTGAGCAATCTTAAAACAGGTTGAATAATTACGGTGCATTATTGGTCCAATTGGTCACTTGACATGTAAACGTATAATCAATCTATCGCTGTTGCACTTCCATTGTGTATATACCTACTTCAAGAAAGGTTGTCGGATAAAATAGCAGAGTCAATTATCGAACGGCGATTGCATGACCAAAAGTAGTCATGGGTTTTGCACTAATTGGTGAGAAATGACAAYTAATTTATRCTGTAAAGTAGTCTGTTGTAAACATTGGCTCCATAGTTTCCATCTCTATACAACATAAGTAAGGGAAATTTTGTTTTTCAAAACAATGTACATGTAACCATAATTCCTTCAGTTGTATATTCTTTTTCTACAATCGCCTTTCATAATTCTCCCMAACAACGGCTTTTAAAAACAAGTACAGATTGAGAAAAGGTTGACTTAAGTATCACTCTAACATTAACCAAGAAATTTACGAAAACCCTGTGCAATTTTTTAAATTAATTTTAGGTGGTAAAACATCATGCCACAACATGCAATGAATCTCAGTAGGTGAATTTAACTCCAGGAACAAGGTCTAAAAGAGTTTGTATTATCTCTGGGAGCTAGGAATGAACAACAAGAAATGTGACCTGGGTTTCTAGGATGTTCAAAATAAAACCTCATGAGTTTGCTCTTACATGTAATTCTATACACTTGCTCTTGCCTTGCTTGTAAAGACCATGATTGAAAGAATTTATAGAAAGAGTGACTTTATTTATCAATGTCTTTGAAAAACGTGGCATCTACATGTATTGGACATTAAGTAACAATGCGCTTAAGAACTAGGGAGCTCTCTATTGTTCTGCGGCATTGCAACTTTCCCTCATACGAATGTCTTGGTTTTCACACTGATTATATATCAACCTATGGGTAACAAATTTTTGAAATAAAATGCGGATAAACTCTATTTTGAAACAAAGTTTCTTTTGTACTAAAAGCTCTCATCCAATCGTAAGCACTCAAAACAATAGCCAAAAGATGCTTCTAATTTGCWATGTTCCCCAYRTAGARTTGCCTTAATATTGAAGCTAAAGAAAGCTTTCATGAAAGTGAAAACAGACATCAAATAAAATATTAGAAATTGCGCTAACTTGTAAAATTATAGCAGATTTCCATGTTTAAACCAATGGGATGGATGGATTATACAATGCACAATTAGCACCTTCTTGCATTCCTTTGCCGTTTGCTTCCCTAGTTCTTACTCGGGGCATTACTTAAGTTTTATTGCACAACAGCAGAATTTATGCAGCCAATATATCTAAAACGTCTCATTCTATTGTTATGTGAGCCTGACTTTGTAACYTTCATTCATGAAGATGTTTTGCTTGTCCACAGCAGTGCAGACAGTGTTACAATCTTTAGATGAYCCAGAAACGGCTGGTCTTATTCTTGAGAAAGAAGCCAGTGCTCTCAAGAATATCTTGGGAGACCCATCAGTCCTCAAACTCATTCGTGCTCATGATAAACTGGAGGAAGGGCGTAAGCAAATTGAAACCCAAGACACCAAGTCTCTTGTGAAAGAATTGCTTGAAGAAATGGATCCCAAAGTTGCTGCTGATGATAGTGCTGCTGAACTGTCAGGACTTTTGCAAGAACCACATTTTCTGGTGATGAAARTTGATATTCTCACCTCTCTGCTTTTATTTGAACTGCCTTTGCTAATTCTTTCAGTTTATTCTTGTGATATTCTAAAATCTGAAGTTAGTSTTTACTTTGTAATAGGCMCTGATGGAATCACATGACGCTGTTGCATTTAAGACATATGAGGTCCTTCCACCTTCCCCTGATATAGACACATCCAATGGCTTTGGYGGRGGAGAACCMATTAGAATGGTTGGRCTKCACAAACAAGCTAGTGAACATTTGGTAAAGTTTGTCAATCAGCAATAGGCTTAATTCAAATAGACTCTGAATTCTTAGCTTTCATTATACATCACAGTAGCCAACTTTGAGGAACTTCAACAAAGGATTTCTCATTAGTTTCTATTGTTCATTCAACCAACATGGCTGCTTGTCTTTTATACTTTGAATCTCATGGGAATGGTTGAAAACAGTCAATATATACTGTATTCTATAAAAAATGCTAAAATTATTATTTTTTGAATACAGGGTGTTACATTGAAAAATGATGATGGGCAGCTTGTCATATCAAGAATCATCCATGGTGGAATGATTGACAGACAAGGTACTAATTTTTGAAGATTTTTTTTTGATAAGTTTTGAGAAAATGATATACAGACACCTTTAAAATACTTACTAATGTTTAGAACATAGTTCCTTTGTTGTTCTTTGTTGTGTCTTTCTTATGTYTGTAGATGMTAGCSAGTGAATATGTTTGCCATGTAGTTTATACAAAAGAAAGCCGTAACACGGCAGATGATATAATTTCATCATCGCTATTCTACCCATAAGCAACCGTTTCACTGGTGTACCAGGCAGTCTACCTTCATTTATKACAACACATGCTAATTGTAGAAAGTGTACATTATGTTTTCCTGTACACAGATCTCATTGAAATTGTTATTTTATTATGATGCAGGTCTTCTACATGTCGGAGACATTATCAAAGAAGTGAATGGAAAAAATATGGATAACAATCCAGAAGAACTGCAAAAATACTTGGTATGATGATTTTATTTTTGTCTTTTTTTTTAGTTGAATTTTATAAATGATTTTCAATTATATTAATCAATGTTTAGAGTAATGCAATGGGAAAAATTACACTCAAAGTTTTGCCAAGCTACCATGAATCACCAGCCTTATGTCAGGTATTATAACAATTATTTTCTTATTAGAAGTTTTTATTATTAAAATTAATTGCAACATTATACAGAGAAGATAGCTAAATGATGGCTCAATATTTATATGAATATTTCTCTGCTGTTGAGAATAATAAGAAGGACATTTTGATTTTCAATAAGAAAAGTAAGCATACAGCTGTATATGATGCTTGCAAAAACACCTTAAAACATAATGAAGAGTTGCTTATTTAGTATATTTGGGAACTTATTATCATTCTCTATGCTACACTGTAGGTCTTTGTGAGGGCACACTTTGAGTATGACCCTATGAAAGATGACCAGATTCCATGTGCAGATGCTGGACTTGCTTTCCAGAAAGGTGAAGTTCTACAAGTGGTTGACCAAGAGGATCCCAATTGGTGGCAGGTAACAAAAGATAGTTTTTTAAATAATTTTCAATTGTGCTTAGCCTAGTCCATTTTGGAAGTAACCTGTACTTTTCTAAATCCTCTTGTAGGCAAAAAGAGTGGAGAGTAATAGAGAAGCTGGGCTCATTCCAAGCCAGATCTTTGAAGAAAGGTTTGTTTTTATTGTAATCAAATTTTGAAATATTTTGTTAGGAACAGTATTGTGATTATAATAATCAATGATAATTTATAGTAAGAATATTAGTGTGATTCTCCATTATCTGTGCAGACTTTGCACTTCAATGAACTAATGTTTGAACTAATTATTGTTTTCATTTGAATGTTTAGCACAACTGTGCTAAGTTTATACTCACATCTTTTACAGGAGAAGGGCTGGTGTGAAAAAGCCCAAGTCAAAAGCTGGATTCTGTAAGTCATTCAAATACTTCTCTCCAAGTTTATTCATATTCTTCCATTCATTGTTTGAATGAAGGAGACCTGTTTTTTTTATCAATGACTTTCATGTTATAAAACTGGCTACCTATATTTGCTTTACACAGCACAGACAAGCCGGTATAAACAGTGTTGTTTTATGCTTTTTTGGTAGTTAAATTAATGTTATGGTTTGTTGTTTGCTTGACCAATACTTGTGATGTTTATTATGACCAATTTAGTGTGTGGAAGCAAAAAGAAGCAGGAAATGATGTACACATCTGCTAAAAACTCGGGTATGTATTTAGCGTCATAAATCACTGTAAATATCATCGGTAAATGCTTAGTTTATGTCTTACTTGGTTATCAAATGTTGCAACTAAGTTGCTTTAATCATTTGAAAAGAGTAAAGAGCTGGCAGTCAATTCTGGCTTTGTGGCGGAATGCTCCCTAATATTTATTAGGGAACTGATCGCGTTACAGTGCGTCTACTGAAACCGGGGAAACCTAGAGAATATAAAATCCCACAATTTAGATTGAAAACAAAGGATTCAAACTAAGGAAACCTCATCTCATTAAGCTTTAGTTCTTTGCATTATCACTGATCATTGCTTTTTATCTTTTTAAGCCTTGTTTCAATCGAAATTGTGATTATTTTACATTCTCTAGGTGGCTCCGGTTTCAGTAGACGCACTGTAATACGAAATGTAATGTTATGTTGKTTGTTGTGACTAAGGGTTTTCCGTACTTGYGATAGAAAGTCTAAAATTGTTGTTCCTTAACGATGCTTAGGTGGGAAATGCACTATATTCAGTGTTCAATGTTAGTCTGTCCAGTAATTCAGTCTTACAATTCTGATCTTCCTTTCAGTTCTACTAATATATAATATTAATTGATATTCATTTGAMATTTTTCAGCTTTCGACAAACACGAACTCACACTTTATGAAGAAGTAGCAAGGATGCCACCCTTTAATCGTAAAACTCTTATCCTGATTGGTAAGTTATGTTTTTTGTTTTTTTTTGAAGCGGTATAAGAATTGGCTTAATAAAAGTCGCGGGTGAAACGTCGTGCTTAATTGTGTCGAATTTAAAATTTGAATTTATATCGAATCAAATAGTTTTGTTCAGAAAGTCACTTCAAAAGTCGCATTGAACTTATTCAAATAATGTACGATGGTTGAGCCAGACCTGTGCTCATCAACTTAATTGCTCAATACAAAATGTAAAATTTTCCTCTCTTAAAAGGGACATAAAGYAGTTTGTTTCAGCGATGGCATGACATAATTAGTTGTGGTTCGTTGCAGGTGCTCAAGGTGTTGGTCGTAGAACACTCAAGAACAGGCTGATTACATCCGATAGGGCGCGTTTTGGAACAACAGTTCCTCGTAAGTACCGACAGTTTTTTTTCTTGCCATGTGTAGAGGTTTCCAAGTACTAAGAGGTGTCTAAGTGCCGCTTAGTTCGTAATATAAGTGTCAAAGTAATTTAGAGATGTCCCAGTAATTTAAGCATCCGTCATTTCGTCCACAAAAAGCCTAAATAGGCTTGCTACAAGTCAGACAGGATTAGGAAAAATAGGAAAACTGAGCTTTTATGCGGGCAAAAAGTGAGCGCTGAGCTATGCGATAGACTAAAGGGACGACTGTTTTTACAATTTTTGTGTGTGTAAATATAAACTGAGAATTGGGCGGACCTAAAAAACTACGCGCAATAACAACAGCTGTCCACAATATAGAGGTTTGATCATACAAAAMATGTAAATGTAAAAAACTGAAATGTAAATGTTGCAAAAAATGTTTCTTCTTTTCTAGACACAAGCAGACGTCCTCGAGAAGGCGAGCAAAGTGGACGAGGTTACTATTTTGTAGACAGAGAAGAAATGGATCGCGATATTCGCGCTGGTAAATACATTGAGTATGGCGARCATGATGGGAACGTATATGGAACGAAAATCGACACAATCAGAGAAGTGATGCGCTCAGGAAAGATGTGCTTCCTCGACGTGAACCCTACAGTAAGATTCATGTAGTCCAGTCCCTCGCAGCCGTTATCAATGTCACGCGCTACATCGGGAAGAAAGTGTAGCGTGACACTTACAGCGGCTGCAAGTGACACTATATAGTAGACCCATATTGACTATTTTACGATTTTTTTGTTACAGCGGAAATCGTTGCATCACGACCTCTTTGTTTTGAAGTTTGTCTGGATTTTGTTCTCTCTGTCAATCTGAGGGGCGGAGCTTTTCGAAAACTCGTTCAATCATTGGCTGATTGGTATCAAGCTCCGCCCCCCAAGTCACAGAAAAACCTAAATCCCAACTATTTCCTTTGAACATTGAAGTCGCGATGSAACGGTTTCTGCTGTAACTTTTTTTGTTGAAAGTGCTTTTTGTAGAAACGAAACAAATTACTGTACTTTTAGAAGAAACTTAAGTCTTAATAGTATTTTGCAATGATTTGACATGCAAAGATGTATAACTAKCGAAAAGAATTCTGGTAGTCTAGTTACGAACGTCATCATGGGAACGACTGATTGAAGAAATGTTRCCACATCCAAAATGAACTGGATCAGCGATACTAGTGAGCCCATAACAKTGATTTTACCTTTTCTTTTTCCAGGCTTTAAAAGTTCTCAAAACTCCCGAGTTTATGCCGTACATAGTTTTTATCGCTGCGCCTGACATGGAAACAATGCGAGAAAATCAAAGCAAAAGCCTACAAGAAGGCACCATCAACAAGAAACGATCGGTGGGTTGAATATTTTAATGCACGGAACTTACATGCACCCCACCCACCCCCCAAAGAAAATACTTGTACAACACAGCACAGGTTAATCTTCCTCACCCCATTCCACTCCAACCCCTAAAGAAAATACTTGTTGGAACACAGCACAGGTTAATCTTACCTATCACTACCCCTAAAGAAAATTGCTTGTCGGACATAGCACAGGTTAATCTTACCCACCCCACCCCAAAGAAAATCCCTTGTGGGACATAGCACAGGTTAAACCTACCTAGCCCACCCCAAAGAAAATCCCTTGTGTGACACAGCACAGGGCTAACTGTCTAGTGACTAGCTTCCTCACTTTAAGTTCCTCTTACTTTAAAAATAAAAACTCTTTATTCCTAACTCAACCACCATTGTCCGATCTGTTTCTTTTTTAGGAAGAGGAACTTCACAAAACAGTTAGTGAGTCTGAGCGACTGTACAACTCCTACGCGCATTACTTCGATTTGACCATCGTTAATACCCACATGGATGAGGCATATCGTAAGCTTGAGGCTGCTATAAACGCATTGAGCACGGAGCCACAGTGGGTGCCAGTTAGCTGGGTATACTGAAAAAAAAGTCAGCGTTATAAATCTTATAAGGCCACTGATAGTAAAAAAAGCAGCGATATCACGGTCATCGTATAAAACCCGACCCCTTGCATCAAAACTTCGTCATCAGGGGAGGGAGAGGGGACAAAACAAAAGATTTTTTGGAACTCGAATCTATTGGTTTATCCCCCAGATAAATGCATTCTCATGAACCATAAGCATTCTATATAAATAGGAACTTTAGTTTATTGTAATATAGCAAACAATTGCGGTATGTGTCAAGCATGTTTTGATCAAAATCGCTGTTGTGTCACTGCATAAATGATAATTTAAGTAGTCCATTTATGAATGTTAAAATTATCACATAATTAGTTAGTCTTGCGAAATA